CAGTTGTGGCTTTGGCTTCAGCTGCCGATGCGCTGTGAAGCGCCTTCGGGCCATAAGCTCACCCGAGTCGGATTTTCCGCTCGCACGGGTGCTCCCCCCCCCTTCTGCTTGCGTGTAGCTGTTGCTGATTCGCCCGCCTCTTCCTCCGCGTCTGCTGCGGGGCTTCCTGAGGGGGCCTCTTGGAGGGCCAGAGGCGGCCTTGTGGCGCTTTCCCAGGGCTTTGTGGGGGCTTCCTGAGGGGGGTTTCTTGGGGGGGGCTTCTCGTTTGGGGCCCTCTTGGGGGGCCTCTCGAGGACGTGCTGGAGGTCTTGGGAGCCATCTTTTCAGGAAGGGCACCACGGGCCCCTGCGAGTTCCCCTCTTGGGCCTCTCTTGGGCCCTTCTCGGGGCCGTCTCGAAGGCATGTTTGGTGGTCTTGGGGTCCTCTCGGGCCTTTTAAGACCCTATTGGGCAGTTTCCGGGCCCTCTTTGAGCCCTCTTGGGCCGTCATGGGCTGGTCTGGGGGGCCTCTCGGGCCGTCATGGAGTTTCAGAGGTTTGTCGGCATGGCAAGATCGCGAACATCATTCAAGATGCAATGGTCGATCCACGGTTTTTGCCTCGTGAGGCTCTCTTGGGGGTCCTCTTGGGGCTCTCTTGGAGGGTCTTGGGGCGTCTTGTGGTGTCTTGGGTCATCTTGAGGCCATTTTTGGTGTTCTTCAGGCCTCTCCAGCGCGTGCCGGAGCCGCTCTGGATCCATCTCGGAAGGCCACGGAGGTGCTTTGACGAGCTCGCCCGCCCCCCCACCCCCTCAAACCAGACTTTGGGCCCCAGTGGAGGGGGAAAGGGGAAGCGGGGCAGGCAACTGTCTCACACGCTTTTTCACCTCCGGCAAGCGGGATCGGCGGATCCTAAATTCATCTTAGTGTTGTGCTCAGTGTTACCTTTGTCTGTCCGAGATGGAATGGGCTAAGCTCAGCTGCGCTCTGTGGTGGTGGTCGTAGCTTACATCTAATATCGAAGACGCCTACGGCGAATCACCGCCGCCCCCTGCCTTTTTGGAAGCGCCTATGTGGCCGAACGTTGAGGCCAGACCTGCCAAGCTATCGGACCACGTGTTCCCCGAATCGGTTTGGAAAGCCTTCGGGGAACACGTGGGCATCTTGAAGGTCATCTTGGCCGTCTTGGAGGCCTCTTGGGCAAGCTTTGGGCGATCTTTGGGGCTTTTTGGGCCGTCTCGGGCCAGCTTCGAGCCAACTTCGGCCATCTTGGTGGGTTCCTGGCACGTCTGAAGCCGTCGGAAGCCGTTTGGGGGGCCTCTATGGGCCGACTTGGGGCCCGCTTGGAATGCTCCAGGGCCGTCTTGGAGGCCATCTTGGGCGTCTTGGAGGCCATCTTGGGCAAGCTTTGGGCGATCTTTGGGGCTTTTTGGGCCGTCTCGGGCCAGCTTCGAGCCAACTTCGGCCATCTTGGTGGGTTCCTGGCACGTCTGAAGCCGTCGGAAGCCGTTTGGGGGGCCTCTATGGGCCGACTTGGGGCCCGCTTGGAATGCTCCAGGGCCGTCTTGGAGGCCATCTTGGGCGTCTGGGAGGCCATCTTGGGCGTGTTGGAGGCCTCTTGGGCCCTCTTGGGGCCCTCTAGGGGCCATCTTGGAGGCCACTTGGGCCATCATGGGGCTCTCTTGGGGGCCTCTTGGGCGATCTTGGGGGCTTCTTGGGCCGTCTTGAGCCGTCGGAGAGCCGAAAAGGCGCAAATGCCAAAATCCTTCAAAAACCAAGGGAAAATCAATGATTTTGGCCTCTTCGGACTCTCCTGGAGGACCTCTTGGAGGCCTCTTGGGCCGTCTGGGAGGCCTCTGGGGGGCCTCTTGGGCCGTCTTGGGCCGTCTTGGACTCTCTTGGGCCGTTTTGGAGGCCGTCTTGGACCATCTCGGGCGGACTTGGAGGCCATCTTGGGCCATCTTCGCGATTTTTTGAGGATGTCCCGAGCGAAACGGCCGTTTTTGGGCATTGACAGACGCATTTTGGGAAACGCGCGGGTGGCCGGCGGGACGGGCCGAAGCCCACTGGGGAGTTCTTTTAGAAAAAGAACCAAAACCAAAACTGAATCATCCAGCACGCCGGGCACCCCTGTGGCAAGACCACAGGGGGCGGCGGATCTAGGGGCCTTCGGCCCATCCCGCCACTGTGCCTGGGTTGTGGGCATGAAGCCTATTGGATGTTCGTTGTGATCTCGTGGGAGGCCTCTCGGGGGCCTCTTGGAGGCAGTTTGGAGGGCCTCTTAGTGGCCCCTTGGGCCTCCTGATCGCCCCTTGGGTCCTCCTGGGGACCTCTTGGGGCAGAAGGCTCGGATTTTCGGTTCGTGTTTCCTCCCTTGGGCCCCTTTTGGGGCCGTCTTGGGGCCCTCTTGGGCCGTCTTCGGCGCCTCTTGGACCGTCTTGGGGCGCTCTGAGGCCGTCTCGCGGCCCTCTTGGAGGCCTCTTGGGCCGTTTTGGGGTGGTCTTGGGGGCCTCTTGGACGCCCAAATCCTTCAAAAACCATATGCTAATCAAGGATTTGTGCCTTGCGGCCCTCTTGGGAGGCCTCTTGGGGCGTCTCGGAGGCCTCTTGGGCCATCTTGTTGCCATCTTGAGCGTCTTGGAACGGTCTTGTCGGAGACTCGGTGCCCTCTTGGACCGTCGTGGAGGCCTCGTGGGGCCCTATAGGTCAGTCTTGGGGCCCGCTTGAGCCGCAAAAAGTGATGTTGGAAACCGCGTGTGAGCCCGATAGGGCACGCCGCAAGCTCCTCCAAACTTGGTAATTTGGGGTCGGGGCCCATAAGAAACTCCTCCGGACTGAGGACCGAGGCTCAGAGGATTAGGCAAAAGGATTTGACTACACGCCCACTCCAGGTCCAGAGGCACGGTGGCGGAAGTTCGCTACGCTTACGTAGCTTATTTAGCTTCCGCCCGCTTAGCCTCGCTTAGCCTTGCCCAGCTTAGAAGTCGTGCCACAACAGCTGGCTCCGCAGAGCCTGGGGGCCCAATGGAGTAATATTGGCGCGCGTTTCGCTGCGGTGGTCTTCAAATTGTTAATTTGGCTTACTCTGGCTAAGCAAACATGATCTCCTCGGTTTGGTTCGGCCGAGCTCACCCAAGCCTGTTTCAGCATATCACAGCACAACTTGTTCGGCCACTTTCACGGTAGCGTGCATTCGCTCATTTGGTAGTCTTTTACAGTGCAGTTCAGCTTTGCCTGGGCCGAGCTGCGCTTGTTTGTGTTTCCCTTGCCTTGGCACTTGTTGCTCTGCTTGCCTTTCCAGGCCTTACCTTATCCTACCCTTCCTTGCTTTGCTTCACACTTCCTTTGCTTGCGCTACCATTGCTTCAGCCTCGCCTGCCTTACGCATGTACTCCTTTCTTGCTGCCACCTTCGTGTTCCGCCCGCTCCCTCAATCGGAGGCCGAGCTCGTGCGACTTCCCGCGTGCATGCGCCCTCTGCGCCACGACGTGCTGGGCAGGGCCCCTGCTGCCCTGATCTCGCCTCTGTGATCCAGAAATGCGACGTCCTGTCTCGTTTCCTTTCGCGGCCCCCCGAAGTCCCAACCCTTTCCCCGGGACCCGTTTCTTCAACCTCCGTCGTTGCTTGCCGGTCTTGGGGCCCCGGGAAGGCCCCCATGAGGCTGAAAGCGGCGACCAAAGACCCGCCGTCGTGGTTTCTCCACGACGCGAGCACGTGTAGGGATCCTGCGCGGGCAAGGATCTGGCAGCCGCGCCACCGCGTCTTCTGCCACTGCTCGCGGCTGCCCCGGCCCAAGAGGCACTCCGACCCGACCCAGTGGCTGTCCTGGGCGCTTCGCCCGCCTGGCCCCCCCCGGGGCGATGGGGGCCTCCCGCCCGCTGGGGCCGTCGCGGAGCGCGCCTGCGCTCCCGCTCGCGTACAACCTGCGCCAGTACAGCCAGGGGGCCACAGGCCAACCCCACCCCGAACCCCCCATGAGTTCTGAGGGTGAGGGTGGAGTTCGCTTCATTCGGGAGCTTCCGAGCGACGTGAACCCCACCCTCCTCCTCAGGAATCGCGGGGGGTTCGGGGTAGGGTTTGCATGTGGCCCTCTAACAGCCTCGACCGCCGCCGCCTCGCCCCGGATCCGAGCGCGGCGTCGCTGGTCAAGGTCCGCCTGGGCCTGCGCCGCACCCGCCGGCTCCCTGGGGGCCCAGGTTCCTGGAAGTTTCTGTGTGTTCTCGCCGGTTCTCCAGCCTGGCGGCGGTTTCCAGCGGCTGCGCCGCGCCGAGGGCGTTCTGGGGGTGCCGGGGTCGTCCCGAAGGGCCGCGGGAGAGCCAGAAGCCAGGGCTGGCACGCCTCCTCCTGAGTCGGCCTGGCAGACGGGTCCGCTGCTAGACTTGTCAGGTTTCAGATCAGTGTCTGAGTTCAATGTTTAAGAATATCGATGCCAGGGTAAACTGCGTTCTTTCCTTCGCCTTAGGCTAGACTCCTTATAACATTTGAAAAATAGAGGCACTTCTTTTCTTAGACTTGTCGTTTCGTCTCTTCCCCTTTCCCCCCGTCTTTCCTTTTCCGCACCCTGCTCCTACTGCCGCTGACTTTTCAGGCCTCCTGCCGACTTGGGACCTGGACTTCGGCCGTGAGGTCAGCCAGCGATCTTTGCAGAGTCCGTTTCCTTCGGCTGAAGTTTGCTGAGAGATGTAGTTTCTGGGCTGCTGCCCCCCTCCAGGGGAGCCTGGGGCCACGCCGCTCCACCTCCAAGTCATCCCCTCCTCCCTTGCTTTCAAGTCGGGCGTGTCCCTCTACAGGAGGAGTCTTCGAAAATAGTCAAGAATAGTACAGGCACGAGTCTTCGATTATGTTTGACTACGGGTGGGCACTTTTCCATTTCCCCTCAAAACCCGCCTGTGGGAGGACATGCCCGACCTGACCCTTGGCTCCCCTCCGTCTGGGGCTGGGTGCGGTGGAGCCGCGTCGGCATCGGCAGCGCCCCTGGTGGAGCCAGGGGGCCAGTTGCAGTCTCGGAGGATCGGCTTGGGGAGGGGCAGCCAGCTCGCACGCCGGGGAGACCCCCCCGGGGGGTCGGCGGACGTCCCACCCGCTGAGCCAGATCGACCTGGCGGGTGGCAACGGCCGCTGGAGGCAGAGGAGGGCGAAGGAGCAGTGGGTCCTCGACCAGGCCGAGGCGGAGAAGCAGCGGCGGGAGCGCCAGGCCGTCGAGGGCGAGAAGAGAAGGAGGCTCGAAGAACAAGCAACGGCAGAAGCATCATCCCTCGGAGGTCTGCGCGGATTTCTCGGAGCGGCGCAGACAGGGAAGGGAGGTCCGGCGCCGATCCGAGAAGCCCGCGCGGAGCCCCGAAAGTCTGCGCTTCTGTGGTTCTCTCTTCCCGTCGAGGTGCGAGGAGCGCGAGGCCAGGAGGCGCCAGCGGCAGGAGGAGGACCTGCAGCGCCTGCTGGCGCTCGAGGAGAAGAGACAGAGGGAGCGTCTCGCGCAGGAGGAGCGCGAGCGGCAGGATCGCACGGGGCTGGGACGAGGACTACAGTGAAGGCCAGGCCACAAGAAGCCTTGAAACAATAAACCCAGCCCGGAGACCCCAGGGCGTCCATTGATTTTTGTGGTGCGGGAGCGTCGCTCTCTCCATCGCAAAACCATCGAAACCCAAGAAACCCAGGGCACCCTGGAGGCAAGCAGGGTGCTTCTTGGCATGGGCCCCCACTGTAGTCCGTTCCAGAGCGCTCCCGAACGCCCTCGTGCGTTTCGGAACGCTCTGAGAAGGATGCGGCGCCCGAGACGTTCTCCAGAGCCGCCGCATCTCAGAGATTTTCGATTCACCCTCGCCCGATTTGATCCTCGTCCTGGCCGCGTCTTGTAGGAGGAGGAGGAGCGGCGCCTGTGGGCCGAGAACGAGCGCAGGGACCGGCTGGCGAGGCAGCCCAAGACGTGCACCGCGTGCGCGGGCTCCGGCAAGTGCACGGCCTGCGGCGGCAAGGGCTCCTTCTTCGCGCTGTTCCTGTCTGCATCCGTGGGCCCGGATGCCTTGCTGGATTTTGGCCGGGCGCAGCAAGGGTGCCAGGAGTGCGGTGGCTACGCCCAGAACATTCGTGGCGATCTCGTGCAGGGATCTGGCAAGTGCCTCGTTTGCGATGGCGTGGGCATGGTGACCCCGCGTGTGGAGGAGATGCCAACGGACAGCAGGCAGATGAGCACGAGATTGAGACGGTACAGGTCTTCTGCGTTCAGCACTGGGCTGCCCATCCTGCACAGCCCCAAGGCGGTGGACCGCTGCCTGTCTGGCGGATTCAGCTCATGAGCGCTGCGCCTTCTGCGGAATCTCGCTTGCGGTCGTGGGCTCTCTCTCCTTTCTTCTCATCCTCTCCCTCCCCTTCTTTCCCCCTTACCCCGCCCGTCTCGCTGCAGGGTGCTCGCCCGTTTGGCAACCCCGAGCTTCAACCTCGGTGCCAGTTTTACCACCACTGTCGAAGTGCAGGGGGCGGATGGCCTCCCACTCGTCGAGGTATTGGACGGTCGAGGCGCGTGATTCCATTCATGCGCGGATCAAGTGTGCCGCCTGGGACGTAGAGAGCCATCTTGAGGCTGTGCTCTGTGCATCGGCCTAAGTGTTTGTGAGCCCTTCGCCCCCAACCCGCGGCGCCTACCGGGTGCGCACTGCGGGTCCCAGTTCGAAGAAGAGGAAACGCCATAAGCATAAACTTTTGGCGCTCCGCGCGGATTTCTTGGATCCGCGCTGGGCCCCCTTGGCGGCGCCTCCGGCGCCGCCCCTGGCTCGCGGAGCGCGCCAGGGAGGGGAGCCACCGCGGATCCAAGAAATCCGCGCGCAGCGCCAAAAGTTTATGTTTATGGCGTTTTTTTCGTGTTTCTTTTCTTCTTGTAGTCTCAGTCGCAATCCGTCCCCCAGGTGCAGCAGTCGCGCAGCCCCGGCTCCCGCCCGCAGCGGCGCCCGTTCTGCGCCTGGCGGCCCTCGCCGGAGCCTTGGGCCAGGTTCGCCCGCCTGCTCCGCGCCCCTCGGCCTTTCGGGGGTGTGCCGGCTGGGGCGCTGCAGAAGCTGGTGTCTTTTTTTTACTCCCAGCCCTCCGTTTGGCTGGGTCCGCGTCCTGGACAGAGCACTTAGTTGCTCCTTCGCCTCCTCTCGCCTTCTCCCGCCTCCTCCCCTCCTCTTCTCCTCCCGCCTCTGCCTCCTGCCTGGCTCCTATCTCGCCCTTTGGGTTCCGCCAACTGCCCCACCTCGCTGCGTCTTCATCTCCTCTTCCCTTCTTTCCCGTACGGTCGCACCGAGGTCTAAGATCGAGGTCGGCCCAGGGAGGGCACCCTCATGTTCTTTGTGCTTGTTGAATGGTCTCGTGTATCCTGGGAGAGGGTACACCTTCGAATGTTCTTCAGTTTGGCCGGCGGAGGGTCTCATGTTCTTGACGGATGTTCTTCTGTCTTAGATCCGACCGTGCCACTTCCCTGGGCACTCTCGTGAGCTCGAGGGCCCCCTCCCCGGGGTCGCTGCGAGCTCTGCAGGTGTCGGCACTCCCGCGAGCTGGTGGCGGGGTGTCCAGCGGAGTGCGGTCTTGTTTGGATCCAAACGATTGCAGTCGGACCGAGGTATAGTACCGGAGAAAAGCCCCAATCATAATCTTTTTGGGGCTATAGGGCGGGTATGAGGGCTATAGGGCTATAGGGCTATAAGGCTCTGGGTCTATAGGGCTATCGGGCTCTAGGGCTTTAGGGCTATAGGGCTATAGGGCTATAAGGCTATAAGGCTGTGGGGCTGTAGGGCTATAGGGCTATAGGGCTATAGGGCTATAGGGCTATAGGGCTATAGGGCTATAAGGCTATTAGGCTTTAGGGCTCCCGGGCTCCCGGGCTCCCGGGCTCCCGGGCACCCGGGCACCTAGGGCACCCGGGCACTCGGGCCCCCGGGCCCCCGGGCACCCGGGCACCCGGGCACCCCGGCACCTGGGCACCCGGGCACTCTGGCGTGCCGCCGAAAACGGCGCCCCACCTCACCTAACCAAATGAATCCGCTAGGATCCCTACAGAGGCAAGCTCTGATTGGGGAATCAGATCGAAGTCGGTTCGGGGAGGGTAATTGTCCTAATGTTTTTCGTGTTTGTTGGATGTTCTTGTGCATCCTGGGGAGGGCACCCTTGGATGTTCTGTGTGTTTTGGCCGGCGGAGAGTCTCATGTTCTTGGAGGATTGGCTTAGGTCAGACTGTGCTGCCTTTACTTGGCGCAGCGAACTGCAAAGCTGCAGAAACTCTTGTAAAATTGCGGGGGGTCTGGTGGGGTGCGATCTTGCCCGGATGCAGGCGATTACCGCCCGAACGCATAGGTTCCCCATGCAGCTCGCATAAGGACAGCACGCCCGTTCAAAAGCTCGTTTTGCATGAGCCCGTTGGTATTGCCACATGTTGCAGATGGGTTGGGTACGTCCCTTGGCAATTATTCGTCCAGGGCGGCGGCGGCTGACGCGAGAATCCGAATGTCCCTTGTCCAATGATCAGTTGCTGATTGTGTGCTGTGCGCGAAGGCAGCGCGTGGCAATGTTGCGGTTTCAGAGCAGCATGATTCTTCGTGCGTGTGCGTTCAGAGCAAGCTCCACGAGAGCACTTTGGACGAAGTGCTGCTATCGTAAGCACATGGGAGCTCGCAGCCAACTCGGATGTCCTAGAACTAATGTCGGTCAAGGAATTTTCTGTTTTTTCTGTTGGCGCCCGCAGCAGCAAAAATCCTGCGCCGCAGCTCTCAACATGCTCGCAATGTGAGCATCAATTCGCGCGCAATTGACACGGTTGAGTGTCTGCGCCCGGGGGGTTGGAGAGTCTTGCGCGGCGAGCCTTCAGTTGGTGCGCTGAGCAGTGTATTTGAATGATTTTCGCAGGGGGGTCGATCAAATGGGCAGGTTGGGAATATTGAAGGGTGATTGTCCTCCGCATCCCCATTTCGGAAGAGCACGACGCCCCGCCAGCGGGCAGTCGTGTGATGACGATTTCTGGTTGATCCCGCTTCTTTAAATCTGATTGCGCTATTCCGCGCGGTGTCGATTTGGACGACCTCAGCGACAAACGCGCCTAGACATTTGAGTTTCGAGCTCGTGCGGCGTAGTCGCACAAACACTCTTAGCGTGCTTTCTTGACGTTGATGGCATCGCTTGCAGATGAAAGTGCCCGTGTATGCGCAGGATGCGCGTTTGACTGTTGACTGCGTTTTTCCCCAAACAGTGCTCTCAGTAAGGGGAATCGTTGCAATATTCAACATGGTGCTGTCGCCGTAACGCCGCGCGCAGTCCAGTTCGGAGCTCACAGCAGCTACGCGGACAGATGGCTGCTCGTTTTCAACATGTGGTTTTGGCGAGAGTGCCGCGCTTGCTCGCCTTCAGAGCTTGCAGCAGCTACGGGGGCGGATGGCGACTGCTTTTCTATGTGGGGCGCTCTAAAACGGGCCTTGCCTTCAAGGATCGAAGGAGTTGGCGTCTCTTCCGCGGCGGAGGGCGGCGGAAGGCCGGCGGAAGTAAAAGACGAGGCCGCCTGCGCGTTGCAGAAGCCGGCGGAAGCTCGGCGGAAGGCGGCAAGAGTACAAGATGCGTCCCCAAGAGACGAAAACGTTTTTGGGTTCAGGGTTTCTGAAATCCGCCACGTGTGTTGGGTATAGCCAGGACCCCGGATAAGGGGAGCCGATTAGTGATTGGGCCCCGAAGCCCAAAATATGGACTATAATCACTAAACCAGGTCTGCCGTAGCTGGTGTTTCTGGGGTGACGGCAGTTCCGGGTAGTGGAATGGGGCGGGGGGGCGTTCCCCAGTACACATCACTAAAGCAGGTCCCACTAACCCAGTCCTGCCAACGCCCGAGTGTGGCTTGCCGTGCGCTTAAAGTGTACACCATGCGTGTGGGCCTTCTCGTGGCCGCGAGCGTGGAGAGCGGGCCCCCACGGCGCTCGTCGTTCCGCGGGGCGCTCTCCCTGCAGTGTTTTTTTTGTTGGCTCCTGCAGTGCCGTCAGCCCCCTTGAGGCGAGCCCGAGCGTCCGTTTAGCAGAGGCTCCGTGTCCCGTCTGGGGCTTCCGCCTCTGAGTGCCCCCCCCTCCTCCCTCCGAGTCCGCGGCCGCCCTGTCTGTCTCAGCCTCTACCCTTGCACGCTGGGCAAGTAGCCCCGTTTAGCCCGAGCGCTGGTGCAGCAACCTCTGCCTCGCCGCCGACGAAAAAGTGTCCCGTCTGGGGCTCGGGGGTCATCTCGCAGCCGTTCTGGGGCCGTCTTGAGGACCCGTTGGGTCTCTGGTGCCACCCGTATGATACGGGCCGACTTCACTCCATGCCCCCCATTCAGCCTACGCCTGCCCAGGTCTGGCGCCTCTGCCTAGACAGGGCGGAGGCGAAATAACGATGCCGCTGCCGCCGCATCGCTCCCAGGATTTGTTTACGGCGAGTCGGTTTCCTGAGTCTGGCCGAGCGGCTTCCCTCCCAAGTCTTGTGAGTTCGGCGGCAAATCATGAGAGACTGGTCTACCCTTTTATCGTGAAGGCCTTACGGCCGGTGCCGCCGACCCTGAAGGCTTTGGCCGTCGATGGCGGCGGGATGTGTGATCACGGGAAGGAGCTAAAGGACACCGTGACAGGGAAGGCGGAGGATGTGTGTGAGGAGGAGGAGGAGGAGGAGGAGGAGGAGGAGGAGGAGGAGGAGGAGGAGGAGGAGGAGGACGGAGGAGGAGGAGGAGGAGGAGGAGGAGGAGGAGGAGGAGGAGGAGGAGGAGGAGGAGGATGATGATGATGATGATGATGAGATGATGAGGAGGAGGAGGAGGAGGAGGAGGAGGAGAGGAGGAGCAGGAGGAGGAGCAGGAGGAGGAGGGGGAGACAAACGAAAAGGAGATGGAGAAGAGACGCTCAGGATGAGGAGGAGGAGGGAGGTGGTATTCTGACCCGGGACCCCCCCAGGACCCCCCCAGGAGGAGGGGGAGACAAACGAAAAGGAGATGGAGAAGGTGGCAAAAGACGCTCAGGAGGAGGAGGAGGGAGGTGGTTTCTGACCCGGGACCCACCCCCGGACCCTCCCGGGACCCCCCCCCAGGACCCCCTGGGCTTCCCTGGGACCCCCCCCCCCCGGCGAGGAAGGGAACAAAGGGAAGGAGAAACCCTTCGAGTCATTTACTTTACGCAGAGGAAGAGGAGGGAGTGAGGAGGAGGAGGAGGAGGAGGAGGAGGAAAAGGAGGAGGAGGAGGAGGAGGAGGAGGAGGAGGAGGAGGGGGAGACGAACGAGAAGGAGACGGAGAAGGTGGGAAAGGAAGGAGGCACGGACGAGAAGAACAACCCATTCCACACGCCGATAGTGTCGGCGGATTTCTGTCTTTAGCGTCGGCTAGCGTCGATTCGCGTCTGGGAGTCGATGAGATAGCGCCGACTTAGCGTCGGCTAGCGTCGATTAGCGTCGATTCGCAAGAGCCGATATGATGGTATGGGAGGCTCCCATGAGTTGCCACCGAATGTGAGCTTGTGTGCGCATTCCGTTAATAATCCGCACGCGCACACAGACGAGTACCCAGACATGCGATATCCTGATTGTTGCGCTGCGGGGTCCTCGGAAGTTCCGATCCCTTCCCCAGGGCCGGTTTCTCATCCCGAGCCGTGTTTTCACGGTCCCCGGGTCCGGCGAGGGCCCCCAGGGTCCGAAAACGGCCGCCCCCCCACCCCCCGCCGTGACCTTTTCACGACGCGAGCATGGCTGGAGAGACGAGTGAGCACGACCGAACGTCATTCAGCCACGCGCAGAGGGGGGGAGGGGGAGGGTGGAAGGCTTCTTCGATGCACCCCTCCTTCTTAGCAGGGGGTGGAAGGCTTTTTAGAAGCACCCCTCAGGCGCGGGCCCTGTCTACAGATGTAGGGCTGGCGCTTTTGAGAGGCAGCCTCCTTCCCAAGAGGTCCCCCCCTCCGCCAGCCTCCCTCTGCGCGCCGCCACGCCCTGCTCGGTCCTCCTCGTCGTCATCTTCCCCTGAGATCCGATGTTGCAAAGCATTGCAACATCGGAAAAATACGACCGGAGCCCTGGACCCCATCCTTCTGCGTCCTTTTTCGAGCCAGATCGATCTGTGAGGGTCCCTGGGCCCGCAACTGAGCGAAAACACCCGTCGTGCAAAAATTGCAACGCCAGGATCTCAGGGTCTTCATTTGTGCTGCAACTCCTGTCGCCATGAAGGCCACGGGTCCTGAGGGGCACGGGGCCCGAGGTTTCCCGCGGCTTTTTCGGCCTCTCGATGTGCCCTCCCCGGGCCCCGTGGCCCTCCCGGAAGACAAGTCGGGAGGACGAGCTGGTCCCCCGGGGGACGGCCCCTGGGGTCCAGGACCCGCCGTTCCCCTCAGCACCTTCATGCCAATCCTGGGAGGCCAAGTTCAGCATCGGCGCTGGTGTATCCGTGGTCGGAGGCCGGCCTGATCCCGCTCGATCCCGCTTGATCCAGCTCAATCTGGCTCAGTCCGGGGCTCACCCTGGGCCCATCCGGCTGCTTTTGTTAGCCCTTTAAGGGGGAGTAGGAGAAGGAGGGAAAGGAGGGAAGGGAGGAGGATGAGGAGGAGGAGGAGGAGGAGG